CAGCCTCAGCGGAGCTGACAGTGTGCTACACACCAAACACTCTCCAACCAATCACAGACGACCCCGACAGGTCCCCAGGCAATTGGATGTATATTCCCACCTAGAGAATCAATCAGATCACTCAGAATCCAAACTCAGCCGTTTTGTTGAGAGAACGCTTATGCGATCGTACTAAAGATAGGACGTTATAGAGCACAGCAGCATGCATATATATATATATATATATATATACATACATATATATATATATTTATAAGCATGTAAATGCAAAGTATAATAATGCAGACACAGGATGTGAGCGGCGCAGCCGGGCACAATGATAACAGTATATACACTCAGCTAGCAGCCATAGCCGGTACTAGTGAGTAAACATAAGAGGCCATAAACAAGCTGGTGCACGCCGCGAGGACAGAGACGAACTGCCGTCTTGTGCCTCGCTAACCCTTAAGCAGTAATACAGTGAGAGGGCGAAGCACACGATAACACTATGTGTCACAAAGCTTGCTCCAGCGGCACTAAGTGAGCGTCACTGTCTGGGTACGATGGTTTCCCCGCCTCCGAATTCCAACTACAAAATCTGGCGAAGGTATTCAGCGAAGACCATCCAGCCGCCATACAAATGTCTTTGATAGAAACAGCCTAAGTCCAAGCCCACGAGGAGGTGACCGCTCTCGTTGAATGAGCTCTAATGCCAATAGGACATTCTATACCCTGGCTAGAATAAGCCAAAGCAATCGCATCGACTACCCAATGTGGTAGCCACTGCTTAGAAAGAAAAGCACACAAATAGCTGCTCAGATTGATGAAACTGAGCTGTGCGGTCAACATAAACACGCAAAGCTCATACCGGACATAGTACATGATGAGGGGCGGCGTGTCCATCACGTGGAGAGATAATGAGCCCAGGTTTACCGGTTCCCGCACACCATCCGCACATGAAATTTCCACCATTCAGGGTTGGGGTGCCATATTGAGCCGCCCGCTTGAGACAGGAGGTCCCGTCTCAGCGGAATCTGCCACGGGGAAACCGTCAGTATCTCCAGCAGGTCGGGAAACCATGGTCTGTTTGGTCAGTACGGAGTGATTAGAATCACCGGCGCCCTCTCCTCTTTGATTTTGTGCAGCACTTGTGGCAAAATCTTCAGCGGGGGGAACGCATACAACCGGGCTTTCGGCCACGGCATTGTGAGTGCGTCCCCGCCCAGGGGAAAGCGCGACAGAGAGAAGAACAGCGGGCAATGCGTGTTCTCCTCTGTTGCAAACAGATCCACTTCTGCCTTCCCGAACCACTCCCAAATCAGTCTCACTGACCCGGGGTTTAGCGTCCATTCCCCGTGAGGCGGTTTATGTGCCAAGTCCTCTCCGACTCCGTCCAGGAGCCCAAGGCCGGTATGCTGTCACAATGTGCTCCCCAGCCTGTCATCGACACGTCCGTCGTGACCACTTTCCGCCTTGTGACCAGTCCCATCTGGACGCCACGTCGGTACAGGTTGGGGTCTCGCCATGGTTCCACCACACACAGGCACCTGCACGTGACCACCATGTTACCCAGGCCCTTCTCGCTACCCAAGTCTTCAGCCAAATCTGGAGGGGGCGCATATAAAGAAGACCGAGGTGACACATCGTCGCGGCTGCCACCATCCATCCCAAAAGCCTCTGATATTCTTTCAGCGCCACGGGGCGTCCCAGGCTGAAAGTATCCAGAGCGGACATTAAATCTCGTATACGCTCTTGACACAGACGCGCTCTAATCGAGACCGAGTCCAGCAGCACCCCCAGATATGTAATCGATCGGCTGGGGCATAACGCGCTCTTCTGTGTGTTCACGCAGAGACCCAAGCTCTCCAAATGAAGTAACAGGGCGCGTTTGTGGCTGTTAAGCACATCTTCTGAATGGGCCAAAACCAGCCAATCGTCCAAATAATTCAAAATGCGCATTCCGCTCACTCTCAGGGGGGAAAGTGTCGTATCCACACATTTTGTGAACGTATGCGGGGGCCAATGCTAGCTCGAACGGCATTACCGTGAACTGATATGCTGTGCCCTCAAACGTAAGTCTCAGAAAGCGCCTGTTTCGAGGGACGATCTGGATATGAAAATACGCATCTTTCAGATCCACCAAGATAAACAGAGACATTTTCGTGGTCACCTGCAACCACCAAGGGGACCTCGTGAGAACATTTTAGACGCTTTGCGGCGGGCCCGCTGCTCGGCGATCTCCTCCTCAGAATCCTCCCGTCAGGAATGAGACCTCTGATCTGACGGAGGGGGCCCCCGGGACGACCGTCCTTCTTCTTGGGGCCGCGATGCATCTTCGGCGCCCTCTGCCATGCGGTTTCGGCGCAAACAGAAGGCTCCTGATCTGGCGCCGATGCAGCGGGAGCTGGAGGGGCTTGCTTTGCTGGGCGGCGGGAAGCAGACGGTGACCTACTACATGCTGAAGGCTGCGCCGCTCTAGCACGTCGCGGCAGGAAGTGACTCATGGCTTTGGAGCGTTTCTTATCTTCTTAGAAGTGCTCCGCTATGGCCTCCACGGCATCTCCAAAGAGGACGGAGGGAGACAATGGCATGTTGAGCAGAGCCTTCCTGTCAGCGTCAGCCACAGATACTGGTGGAGCACCACCATGTAAACCATGCTTTGTCCGATCGCTTGGGCCGTCTTTTTTGTGGCTTTTAAGGCGAAATCCATCTTCTTGTGTCTTCTACACAGCTGTCTTGAAGTAGGATGCTTGAAAGAGGAAGATTCTGAGTTTATGCCACCATTGGCATTGGCAATTGGCCACCACTTCACTGGTGTTGTGCAATAAGATTTCAGGTAGGTTAAGGAAGGTAGGGAGTCCCCGTCGTGTCAGATTCCTGATGCAATGTCGAAGTGAACCGTCTTCGAAAGGGAACCCACAATACTATAAGGTTTGACTACATCATTGCTTTACTAGGAGGAGGAAATGGTGGCCTGAGTGGCTTCAACATTTTGGCTGCATCTGAAAACCTGCTGACTTGCTGCCTTATCAAGCAATGACTTTTCAGGCAGCATTTGTCCACGAAGGCACCTCACGAAAATTTCGGACAGGCTTCTGAGGCAGCGTAACGGTTTAATGATCCACACAACAAAATCGAACAAGCTTTGGTGACAACTGAGCTAAAATTTAATTACTATAATACTGATTTCTTGATAGAAATAACATAAAAAAATGCAAACAGTTGGTAAGAAACATATACATTTACATATAAACTGACAACCAAATCCAACTTTCTGACGCCATCTTTATTTTTTTAGCTCAACCATCACGGAATGGAATGCACAGTATTGTGGGATATCAAAGTCAGTGAAGGATACATCTATGCTGCCTTCAAAAATCGACCAGATGAAGGCATCTCATGAGACAGGAAGTGAAGCTAACTTTGGATTAGAATGTGCCTTGATGCCTTCCTACCTTAGAATGTGTCCTCCGAAGACAGCATTTTCCAGTTTTCAGACAGCCGTTGTCTGTCAGAGACCATAACGTATGTGAGTATAAATTTGCTCTTCACTCGCTGAAATTGAAAGGTGATTTTTTCTTCTCAGTTGTTAAAAAATTAAGGCAATTATCAGTGTATTGATAAAATGTTAATTTTCCAATAAAAGCTGATAAATGTTTACATGATGTGTTACATTGAATTACCCCTTTTGACTCATTTAGGTGAGAAAAAAAAAGAAAAAAAAAAAGAATTCTCCCATTAGCACATCTGTGTGTTAATGTTACATAATTATTTAAACTATTGAATTACTTTTGAGACTACATTTGATTTGATAATTTGTACCACATTCCACTTAGCAAGTATTTAGTACTGGCGTCAAGATGCTCTGCAGTATGTCAAGTGGCCATGAAAGTTAATGTTTTGGTATTTGTGAGAAAGTTTGGTGAATGAACACAGGGATTAGTAAATGAATTTTATTCTCTCAAAACAAGAAACAATTAAAAATTCATATTGTGTGGCAATTTTCCCATCTCCACAAACTGTGACTCACTCCTCATTTGACAACCAGTGTCCGTTGCGTTGAACAACATGACGAGAATGAACATTGTCCAGTCCACTAAGAGTTCAGAGACTTCGTACAGCACCATCCAATGGAATCTGTTTTTATGACATTTTCTTTATAACAATAATAAAATAAAATATACTTGCAACCTTTTTTTCCCAAGTCTACCTTGACTAAATATAAATTTTCTTCTTTTTTCCCCCCATGTTTTTTAGTTTTCTTTCATCTGTTTGATTTTCTTTTCTTTTATTCTTTTCAAAACTTCAAGAAAAATGAGTGCCAAGAGGTGGAATGTTGCGTTGAATGTCTGAACCGTCGGCCACAAAAGCTCGACCCTGACCTGAATCTGTGGACGACAGATAGGGGGGATGGCCAAGCCTCCGGTCCACATGCACTGTACACAAAACTGCAAAAAATTCCCAAATGTCTCTATCAAAACATGCTGTATTACTCAGACGGTGTGCTCAATCCATGTTGCAGACCCTTTTCAACATGCTTGCTTTGAATGAATGAGCCATTCTAGTGTAATAGAACACAGTGGAATCATGACAGACCCATCTGATAATCTACAGCTCCGGCTCCACATGAACAAAGAATTATGGCTGCATTTGAAGGGAGGAATGTACAATTTTCATGTTCGTTTTTATAGCAAAATCGATATTGTACATTTATTGTTTTCCTCGGCCATCCCTTGCTTTTTTTCCATTAATAATATGCGATGCCAAGTCTCACCAGACCACACCTGTAACCGAGATCTGTAAAAATACAGAAAAACATTCTAAAGGATGACAATCACATTGTTATCATTTTGCATTCAGTCTCTTTGAAAATCATGCACTAGAGAATTTCATATTAAAAATAATACAAATTGTTGAAAATGGCTGATCTGGTCATCCTTAAATAAGTTTCTTCTTCTCTTTCTTTCTTTTTTTTTTGCAAGTCTTGAGGAAAATAAACTTCAGATTTTTTTAAACAACTCTGCATCCATGCAAAAAAAAAAAGAAAAAAAAAATAATCTCATAAATTTCATACAGTACATCAACAAAGAGAACATCATACCGGAGCACAAAAAGGTCCATTATTTAATTATTTAATTTAATTATTTTTTCTTCTCAGAATTCTGTTGTTTCCTGAATCGAACAGGAACTCTGGCCATATCCATTTCCTCATCACCGAACCTTGAAGAGCGATCCAGTGGAGATCTGGCTTGATGTAGGGTCATTCCCATGAGAATGTCATCTCTCAGGCTACCCTTTCCTGTCCCATCTTAGCCAAGTGCTTCTCTCTTTATGGATCTTCTTTTGACAGCTTGGCTTACAGTAATGGCTACAATGCATCAAGTTCTAGATAAGAAACACTGACATCTCTTTGAATTCAACAAAGAGAAAACATCCAGAGTAAAACGGCGTCTTCCTATTCTGGTGGAAATCAGCACTCTTAACGTCCTACAGTTAAGAGTCAGACTCCTCTGAATCCCTGGCTGCATCTCTTCAGCGGAACGGAGAGACTTCCTCTGTCGTTCTTTCCCTGCGTGTGACAGCAGCATACATTTTCTTTTCGGTTATTTTTTTGGCAGAAGGACGTAGGCCTTTTCTTAGCCTCTTGTCGCATGGGCTCAGAGGACACAACATCAAGCATGCAGTGTAACCAGGACGTGACCCGTCTCCTCTCTGTCTGTAGCTGAAGCTACTCACGCCGCTCTCTACCGCTCACCTCCTCGTGCCGCTACGACCGAACGTTGGAACTGTCCAGGCCTGAATCTGGAGGTTTACTACTTAAAGGTGCCAAGGTTGGGTCCACTAATGAGGTGGGAGGGAAGAGCTTGTACCAGCCAATCACCATGTTGGTCAGCTCTAAATCGTCTAACAGGATCTGGGCAGCTCCCATGAAGGATTTGTGGTCCATGCGTCCATAGTCCCCCCAAACAATTATCTGTAAAGAAAGACACAATTGGTAAAGAGTTTCAAAAGATGTGGTGCAGTGTTGTTATTGTTAACTAAAATTAAAACCTAAAAAAAAGTCTTACACTACAATTGAAATAAAAATAAATGAAAGCTAAATAGAAATATTAAAAAAGCACATGATAAATTATGAAAAATTAACAAAAATTAAAAAAGGAAACTGAAAATATCAAAACAAAAGCCAAAATATTAATAAATACTATAATAGTAAATAAATAATACTAAAATAACTGATGTGGTGAAAACATATCTAAGTCAAATTCCCCCCCCCAAATCAAAAGAAATAAGAAATAAATGATATTTGGCATAACAAAATCTTTTTTTTTTTGCGAACAAAAGCCAAAATATTAATAAATACTATAATAGTAAATAAATAATACTAAAATAACTGATGTGGTGAAAACATATCTAAGTCAAATTCCCCCCCCAAATCAAAAGAAATAAGAAATAAATGATATTTGGCATAACAAAATCTTTTTTTTTTTGCTTGTCATCATTTAATGACAATTAAGATGACATTAAATATTGTTCATCCTTATTGGTCCTGGTGTTACCTGTAAAACCTTTCCTTCAGGATTCTCCTCAAACTGAAGCTGCTGTTGATAAAGAGGATCCAGTGTTTTTCTCGCCGTCCGTGTTTTCTTTTTGTTGATGCACTTCCCATTGTCCAGCAGATATACTTTTACATAAGGTGCTGCAAATGGAAGACCGCAAGAGTTTACATATAAACGTCACAAAATAGTCCAGGGACAGGTCATATTTAAAGAAAAACATGTATATTGTGTCATTATGAGGCATACCTGGCGTCTGTTTGTTCCCTGGTTTGCCCACCAGGCCTCGAGCCCGAATAACTTCAACATCCAGCCTCTCCTTCCTGTGCACCATACCAATCTGGATGTCACCTGCACAAAAGGCCACATCCAAACTCTTAGAGCAGACAAAAGTTCTCTTTATAGAAACCGTTTGATAAAAGTTACTACAGTGCTATGGACAATCATGACTTTTTTGGTGGAGAATCATGTGTTAAGCCCAAAATATTTTTGTTTTTTTAAACATACAGTAGTCGACGCGTACTTGTAAAATTCATAATGTATGCACAATTTTTTTTAACTACTTTTACCTTGCACATATGGCTTTGTTTTTTTTGTTTTTTTTTGGACTTATTACTTCGTCCACAAGGTGGCAACACTGTATCTGCCTGTTGTTTCACAGGCCCTGTTTACACCTGCTTTTACAGATGCATTTTCATCGAACTGATCACATGTGGATGACAGTAAATACAGGTGTACATGAGGTCTAAAACATTTTGAGCTTGTCCACTTTCGACCATTTTCAGAGGTAGCACACCAAACACACCAAAACAATCGATTCATACTTCGCGGTGTTGTGCCAAAACACATAGGTTATGATCAAAATCGATGTTACCATTTGTATTCTTTCCATGCGCTTCCTTTCCCGCTTGTTCGTAAGCAGTGTAATGGCTTCATTCATTCTAAGTATTTGTGCACAGCTTTCGGCGTTCCAGCGCAAGTGATGTAGCATGTGATGGAATAAGAGGGTCTAAACCAGGGGTAGTCTCATGTTGCCAGACCTTCAGACTGACGGCAGAAGGTCTGGGAACCTTGGCCGCTTTGAATGGTGGTGACCAGTCCTGCTCCTGGAGGGCCACGTCCTTCAGAGTTTTGCTCCAACCTTGATAAAAACTCACCTGCCTGTAGCTTTCCAGTAACCCTTAGACCTTGATTAGCTTGTGATTTGATTAGGGTTAGAGCTGAACTCTGCAGTACTGTGACTCTCCAGGACCGACATTAGCCAACCCTGGTCTAGGATCTAGACCAGGGGTGTCCAATCCTGCTCCTGGAGAGCCATGTCCTGCAGAATTTTCGCTTCAACCAGCTCTAACACACTTGCCTCGAAGTTTCTAGTGAGTCTGAAGACCTTGATTAGCTGATTCAGGTGTGCTTAATTAGAGTTGGAGCTAAACTGCAGGAAAGTGGCCCTCCTGGATTAGGTTTGGACAACCCTGATTTAGATGAAATTCCAACACAAGTGGTAACAGGAGACGCATTTAAAAGTCATGTTAAGACCAGGTGTAAATGGTAATTGAGATCGAGTCATTGAAAACGCATCTTAATACCAGGTGGAAATAGAACCATAGTCTTCTGTTTCATGGATGAAATGTAACAACATCAAACTACTTGAGACAAAACTGAAATTTATTTTGTGCTTTTTAGTGTCTTATACAATACAGTACCAAAGAAATTTGTTCATGTGAACAACAAAAGAAAAGAGTGAGTGATGATACTAACCCATTGGAGGCGTGGCCAATGTCTGTCTCCCTGCCAGCTGGGCGGGGCCAAGACCATCCAAAAACTCAGTGAACTGGCTGTCTGAAGAGATCTTCACTCCAGGGAAGATTAGACTTTGAACAGATAATGGACAGAACATCTGTAAATCAGGTGCTAATAGCCTCTGACAAGACAAGATATCATCACTGACACAAAACCAGCCAACCAGGAATGGTGGTGATGACATCATGTGATTTAACAATATGTGGACCATCATATTCAGAAGTAGATTTTTACAGTACTTACTTTCCAGGCTTCACCTTATCGCCATCATCTGTGGTCTCACGGCTGGGCTGCCGTGTCATCCTGCTCTTCATCTCGACAGCTAAACCAGTCTCTACACTCCGTTGGATCGCCAGACGCACCGGCTTCTTCTTCTTACCCTCCTCTGAAAATAACAACAAGGGGAAGAGAAGATGAGTAAATAAAAAAAGACAAATGTGTGACACTTCGAACCACAGTGTCTCAAGTAGTCCATCTTTTGGTCTTGGTCTTGTCATGGACTTGGACCATGTCCGGTCTGCAGATATGTTTTGTGGTCTGTGCTAACTCAAGCAAATGATCTGCTCAGTGCTATCGTGTATCTCAGAGCACACTGTGTGCTGTGGAGGTTCATGTAACACTGACGTAAAACCAGGCTTCATTCACACCACAGGAATCATTCAGAGCCTCTTCCAGTCTCTGTCTTGTCTCAGACTCAACCTACTCAGGTCTTAGCCTGGTCTTGAATGAGTTGGTCTCGACATATCACTGCCACCACACACCCATCTACCATTGGTTGGGCAAACATACAGTCCCATCCCAAACTTGCACCAGAAGAGTTGAGCCAAAAACAGCAAAACATGTTTTGAAAGCACCACAGAGCAATAGTGATCATGCTACAAATGGTTTCTTATTGTTGTCTCTACTCATCAAGCTAGGTTGGAGAGAGTATTTTAATATAAGAAAATGCATTTTACCCTTTAAGAAAAAAAAACATGGTTGACAAACACTGAATGAGATGCTTAAAAAAACATGTCCAACAGATGACCAACAGAGGGCGTCAGTCTGCCAGTCTGAGCAGCAGGACAGTGCTGAGTGACCTCCAGTCAGCTTATACACATATCTATCTATCTATTACGGGTGTAACAGTACACAGAAGTCATGTACAGTTCGTTACGTACCTCTCTCAGAGCACACTGTGTGCTGTGGAGGTTCATGTAACACTGACGTAAAACCAGGCTTCATTCACACCACAGGAATCATTCAGAGCCTCTTCCAGCCTCTGTCTTGTCTCAGACTCAACCTACTCAGGTCTTAGCCTGGTCTTGAATGAGTTGGTCTCGACATATCACTGCCACCACACACCCATCTACCATTGGTTGGGCAAACATACAGTCCCATCCCAAACTTGCACCAGAAGAGTTGAGCCAAAAACAGCAAAACATGTTTTGAAAGCACCACAGAGCAATAGTGATCATGCTACAAATGGTTTCTTATTGTTGTCTCTACTCATCAAGCTAGGTTGGAGAGAGTATTTTAATATAAGAAAATGCATTTTACCCTTTAAGAAAAAAAAACATGGTTGACAAACACTGAATGAGATGCTTAAAAAAACATGTCCAACAGATGACCAACAGAGGGCGTCAGTCTGCCAGTCTGAGCAGCAGGACAGTGCTGAGTGACCTCCAGTCAGCTTATACACATATCTATCTATCTATTACGGGTGTAACAGTACACAGAAGTCATGTACAGTTCGTTACGTACCTCGGTTTTGGGGTCACGGTTCGATACGAGTTCGGTACAACAGGAAATTTAGGATTTATTTTGAACAGACAGTAGTGCTACATGCATGTATCATGACCAGTTGTTTTTGATTTGAATTAGATTGTATAATTTCAGGATTTAAAGCAAAAACAGAATGGTCTGACTTTAGATTTGTGAAATTAGGCTACATAAGACACCTGCGCAAAACAGAAACAGCAGACGGACTGAATGAAAATGCAGATTCACTCTCTGACAGCAGGTGGTGCTTATGGAACAGCAGCGATACAGCATTTCCTTGCTTACCGCTGTAAACAAAGCAGCGCTGCGCTTATAAACACTAATATGCATTATATGGAGGTAAGGCGAAAAGAAAATTCCATCGAAACATTTCTGAAGACTCTCAGAGATGCATTCATATAAACCCCCACATATCTGTCTTCCTATATTTCGAGAATCTCAAACAGTGAGCTTGATCTGCCTGGTACAGTATTTTCTCCTCTTTACAGACTTCATAAAAATTCCACACAAATTACATTTTGGGAAATGATTGCAATGCAGTTTGTGTGCAACTTTCCCACACTGCTGATTTATAACAAGCAGGCGGTTCTTCAAGCTCTTGCGTGCCATCTGAACTTGCCGTTCTTGCTTTGGGTTGGTGTGCTGATTGTCTTTTGCTCTTTTCTGTTGTGACGATTAGCATTGCATTACCGCGCGCGCCCCCTTCTGGATTGATCGCCTATGACTGACTGTATTCGTCCTCTGACTGCATGAACCGAACCGTGACGTCAGTACCGTGATGGTTCGGGACGAATACATGTACCGTTACACCCCTACTAACTATCTATCTATCTATCTATCTATCTTAACGGTACACTACTACATCTGCCTTATCCAATCCAAGCAGACATAACATATATCACACAAACATAAATCACACATCATATACGGCTCTTTGGCTTTCAGGTGGTCACAAACCAAAAAGCTTTCAAAAGAACTGGACATAGCAGAGCCTGTCACACATGGCATGTGGCTTCATTCTTACCTCCGTCTTTCTTGTCAAAGGAGTTCATGCAGGGAAAGTAGACGGCCAGTGCCTCGAAGGAGGCAGACAGACTAAGCCGGCTCTGTGAGCGCTGCATTCGCATGCCGGGGAGAGCGGTGCTGCCATCCTGCCCTTGTCTGCCCATTTTACCACCTCGACACCCTTAAACACCTCTAATAACACTGAAAGAGGGTGGTAAACGTGTAGAGCTGATGCTGTGAGACGGTTTTGGAGAAACAGGTTTGGCAGGATTGTGGTCAAAACCTCTCATCGGTAGCAGCCACGAGTCGTCTTAATTCTCAGGTCGATATGCGGAGAGGATGACTGTCTGACTGTCTCCTCTGCAGAACGCTACTTCATCTGAGGGGTGGGAGGGGGAGACGGCAGCATGTGCACGTGGCTTACAGATGATGTGGCCAATCAGAGGCACAGAAACTAAGAGACCCCTCAAATGCTTCTCCAGGAGACAGAGCTCTGCCTAGAGATATGACTGCACACAAACACATACACTTGACTTGCCTTCTGACTGCAGCTTCATCAGTTACTACACACACACACATGCCCATCCTAACTGACAATTATATGCACACAACAGTGGTTAAAAGTAGCAAAGCTACTCACTTGATTACATTTTTTAGTAGCGTGATAATGCATGCTACTTCATGCAGCATTTTCCAGTAACAAGCTACATTTTTCAATGAAATGCTACATCACTGCATTTTACATCACATTGTATTGTGCACACATATGTACAGTAGAGTAAACAGAAACAACTGATGGATGCATACATAAAGTCAGCTGAAAGAGATGGTTGTTGGAAAGACTAAGCCAGGATTAGGCCATAGTTCAATTAGAACATTTAAGTAATTTTTATAAATGTGCCTTACAAAAAACATTACTGGTGTCCCTCCTGAGACAAAACAAAGGCATTGATATATTTTAAGATCAATCAGTGCAAGTTTCTTTCAGTTGAAACAGCTCAGACTTACATTTTAGTCTGGGACTAGGCTTAAGGCCTGTTCACACCAAGGACGATAACTTTAAAGATAACGATAAAGATATAGTTCTAAAAATCGTTCTCAATATTAAAGAATAGCAGAGTCCACACCACAACTATAACGATAAAGACAAAGAGAAACGACATCGTTGGAATCACTTTCAAAACGATTTTTCTCCAGCTGATGAACGATAAAAAATTGACAGCCAATCAGAATCCATTCTGCTGTAACGAGCTCGAGAATTTAAAGCGGCAAACGAGCGTGCGCTTAGAATAAACAGACGATATAGTTCGCTGGTGTGGACGCTAATATCGTTATCTTTATAGTTATCGTTCTTGGTATGAACGGGGCTTTAAGCCTTGTCTGTGAAACCGGGGGTTTAAGTAGTAAGATTTAGTCTTAACTAATAACGCTTGACTAAGGGCATTTCAAATAAATGCTGTTCTTCTGAGCTTTCTATTTATCAAAGAATCCTGAAATCACAGTTGCCATAAAAATATGAAGCAGCACAACTGTTCTCAACATTGATAATAATAATAAATGTTTCTTGAGCAGCAAATCAGCTTTTTTTAGGACTCTTGGATCAATAGTAATTTCACAAGAACAGCATTTATTTGAAATAGTAATCTTTTGCAACATTAGAAACATCTTTATGGTCACTTTTGAGCATTTAAAAGTATCCTTGCCACATAAAATGTTTCTTGAGCAGCAAATCAGCATATTAGAATGATTCTGAAGGATCATGTGACACTGAAGTAATGATGCTGAAAATTCAGCTTTGATCACAGGAATAAATTACATTTGAAAGTATATTACAATAGAAAACAAGTATTTTAAATTGTAATAATATTTCACAATATTACTGGTTTTACTGGTTATTTTTTTATCAAATATTTTGACCGGTGTTGTATCTTACATAAACTCTGCCCCTAAAAGGCACAATCAATTATTAAATAATTTTCATGTCAGTTAAGCTACTCTTCCTGTATAATTTGATGGTTCTTGTCCAGAATATGCTGTTTGACACTGTAAAGCTGCTTTGACACAATCAGTATTGTATAACGCGCTATATAAATAAAGGTGACTTGCCTTAACTGTGAAAAGGTCCAGACTTTCTGCGATCTTCATTCAATTATGTTATTTATATTTTCTATTGTTCTTCATTAAACCACTACACTTGCATAAAACCTCATCTTTCAAAGCCTTCTGGTACAAACATTGCAAAGTTATGCTCAGTAAGCTTTACCATTAACAGAGTGGCAACTAGCAGTCTGGTTTTAGTTCTGAGAGGACAATGAAATCTGACATTTCCATTCAAGATGGCAAACAGACACTGCATGATGTACCTCAATGAAGACAGGACCTTCAGCTTAAATTTGAGACAATGTGTACACTCCTGTAAGCTAGAAATATCTTATTGTAAGATGAAATCATCCCCAGCTCAAAATAGAAACGTCTTGAACCTTCTTATTAAAGTCTGAAGAATACAGTCGTGACTCATATCACCGCTCAAACCTCAACATGTCAGACAGTAACACAAATAATCTAGTGCATATAAATCCAACAGAGTGCAACGCTTCACATCCAACTAACTTAAAACCC